TTTAATATATAAACATAAAAAATTTTCTGAAATATATACATGCATGTGTGTATTTATCATTTGACAGCACAAATTTTTATAACTAATAATATTAATCCTATTTGTAATATAAATATTGTTACAAAAATAGGCAGCAAAACTGGATACCTCATAAGCTTGAATATGACATTTTCTAAATATTCAAAAATATCTGTCAATATTTCCAGATTTTCTATACTATGAACATGTTTCGTGTCTTACTGACATTTTTAAACATTCAAATAATTTCTTTTATATACATAATTTGCTTCTAGATGGGGTTATTTTAAGATTTTCGATACAAATATATTTATTTACTACTGTAAAATGTTTCATTAAAAAACATTTAATAAGCTGAGCATATGTTTAGTCTCTGTGCAAAAATGAGTTGCTACTTGTGACCAGCATTTCAAATCACTCACATGCGGTTCTATATCTGTTAGGATGCTGTCTGTGTAGACAGTAACCAGCGAGTGAGCTCACTAGAGTTTGGAACAGAGCCACTGTGTATAGAATTGAACCTCTACACCCACTACAGCAGAACGCCTTGGTTTTCTGCTTCCTCAAGGCCTCGGGTCAGAGTTATTAGTCTGTGTGGGCAGCACATGAATCACGGCACAGTGAAAGCAGGCGTGGGTTTCGCCTCGGCTACCTTCCCCATACAGTTCAATTATCGATTGGCACCACACAGCTAGCACCACTCCAAACATGGCCTGCGTTTAACTGCCCAGCTGAGAATACGGCTATATTCTCACTCTGTGTGTGTGTGTGTGTGTGTGTGGACGCAGCTCTCCTGTATAAGTGTGAAGCTCAGAGGGACAGCTGTGGACTCTGTCTGAAGGCAGACAGCATGTTTGAGTGTGGCTGGTGTTTAGCCGATAAGAAGTGTCTCCTGAAGCAACACTGTCCATCACCCGAACACAACTGGATGCATCAGGGACGCCGCAACGTACGCTGCAGCCATCCCCGAATCACTAAGGTAGCACACACACACACATCATCTGAAAGCCATCCTTGTGTTCAGATGAGCCCTAACTAAAACATTAAAGTAAACAGTGAGGAAATACATGAATTATGTTAGGGACACTGGGTAGGTGGTAAATAATTTCTGTCAAGAATGAAAGTCATTTTATTATGTTATTATTTTATTATAAATCATTTAGACGATTAATCGTGATTAATCGTTTGACAGCACTACTTTTTTTGGAATCACAGTATTTATTTTGTCTTTATTATTCATCTTTATTATTTACCTCAATTGTTTACATTTTTAGATTTACAATTATTTATTTAATTACCTTTATTTACCTTTATTATTTATTTATTCTTGAATTTGTCTTTTTACCCATTTGTTTACCTTTTTTTTAATGTAGAGCATATTTATTTATATCTTTATTATTTATCTTTACTTTTGTAACATTTTGTAGCTTTAAAATGTTCATTTATTAATTTTCATCATCTCAGTTTTTGACTTTTTTTAAAATAAAAAATATTTATTTATCATTATTTATCTGTATGATTTATTTATTCATCAATCTATCTTTAGTAGTTTTTTTTTTTACAATTTTCAGACGTAAAAATGTTTAATTTACTATTTTTAGAATCAAAATATTTGTATTTATTTTCATTTATTAACATTTTTCTATATACCTTTTTCTTCATTAAAGATGTTTTGTTGGACTTTTGTAGCTTCTGTATGTCATTTTTCATAAATTGTCCCTCAAATATGGTTAAAAGCACAAATGAAATAGACAATCCTCCTGCATGACAGATATCCCAGACTGCACCTTTCAAAGTGGTGACCTTTAAAGCTCTTAGAATTTGTTTCTTTTATATCCTCCAATGAGAAGCTGTCATCTCTGTCTTCATAGATCCGGCCACTGACGGGGCCGAAGGAGGGCGGCACACGCGTGACCATCGAAGGAGAGAATCTGGGGCTGCAGGTTCGAGAGATCACGCATGTGCGTGTGGCGGGAGTTCGCTGCAACCCTGCTGCGTCTGAATACATCAGCGCTGAGAGGTGGGTTATGCTTCCCGTGATGCTAGTTAATTTGAACTGGTGTTTGGACAGTGCTTAGTGCAGGAGTGATTTCTGGGTTTGTTCTTGGCCTGCAGGATCGTGTGTGATATGGAGGAATCTCTGATGTCGAGTCCCCCTGGTGGTCCGGTGGAGCTGTGTATCGGTGACTGCAGCGCTGAGTATCGAACCCAGTCGTCTCAGATGTACTCTTTTGTGGTACGTCCTCTGCTTCTTTGTTTAGGAAAGGGACAATGTTATCTTAAGACATCTTGGCTGTCTCTGAAACTTGAAGAATGTTGCTTTATCAGGCAACATATGGAGAAAGGAAGGCATCAAAACAAATCCTAATTCAATCCCATAATCCTGTGTGTGCCTTTCAGCGATTGGACAGAATAAATGCCATAGTGGTTGGAAAAAATTTCCATTTTTATTTATTTAGAATATTTAATGACTACGGTGCTTATTTAATTTTATTAAAAATAGGTTAGGTATGTTAAAATATATGTATTTTATTTTTTTAATTTAATTTGTATTTATTTAAACAATTATTTATAATGATTTATTTGTTCATTAAGTTATGTATAATTTTAGAATAGAAAAATGTCTTTTAAATATGTATCTTTATCATTTATTTACCATTTTAGTATAATTCATTCATTCATAATTCATTTATATTTTTTATTTTATTTATTATTTCTATATTTTTTTTACCATTTTTAGAATAGAAAAGTGTCTTTTAAATATGTATCTTTATAATGTATAATTTCTATTATTTGTTTACCATTTTAGTATTAATTAATTCATAGTTCATTTACATTTTTTATTTTATTTATTTATTTATTTATTATGTTTTTACCATTATTTAGAATCACAATATTTTTTTTCTTTAATTTAGCTTTTATAATTTTTACTGTTTTTATCTACAAATTTATTTATTCATCTTTATATTTAATGACAACCGTGCTTATTTTTAATTGAAAAGATAATTTTAATTTTAATTTATGATTCCATTTCTGCCGGAAATAAGCATTGTAATTACTAAACACTCTATGGGTTATTTCTAAACTCACTTGAATTTGTTCTAGAATATTAAATGTGATGACATCTTACTTTTTAAAGCAGTTTCCAGGTGCCTTCATACACAAAACGGCACCTGACTGGCCAGCGAGGCGGCTGCCTTCGATTTTACACCAAGCGGTTATATTTTAATCGTTTTTTTTCATATCGATTCCCTTATCGCTGCTAACATTTTGTTTGTGGTGATTTACGCGCAGCTAATCAATACGAATCCATCCTTTGAGACTCAGCCAATCCGATTTTGCACTTGAAACCGATGAATCGTTAGGATTCCCACTCCTCCATCCCATTAGCCAATCAAATCAACTTGTGGAGCCCATGTGATAATGTAGTTGAAGGAAAGGGGAATGTAAAGAATGACACAATTACCCCTTCCTCCCCGCTGAGTTTTGAGTGGTGCCCAGCAGGAATAGGGCATTAGTCTATTATCCCGAGCCCAGGAGCTTTACACACACACACACACACACATATATATAAATGGATGACCCTGCCTGGATTCCCTCAACATCTAATCAATAGCGTCCAGGCAGCTTCAGTCGTGCAGAAGGGTAAAGCAAATGAAAATACACACTCTGACCAATTACACAGGTATGCAACTAATTACTGCGAGAGGACGGCGCTTTTTTAAAAGTAAATAAAAAAATTAATGTTTTTCTATTTCCATTTCAGTCAATCAATTAGAACTGTAGTCATTAAAATTAAAATAAATATTTAAAAATATATATTTTTAATGAATATTCAATGACTACAGTGATTATTAAAATATTTATTGATTAAATAATGTGTTTATATACAGTGCCTTGCGAATGTATTCATACCCCTTCATTTTTTTCACATTTTGTTTTGTTGCTGCCTTATGTTAAACTGCTTTAAATTAGTTTTTTTCCACAACAATCTACACTCCATACACCATAACTGTCAAGCAAAAAAGATGGTTTTTAACATAGCAAATTTATTAAAAATAAAAAAATAAAATGATTCCATTGCATCTGGGACAGTTAAAATTTAGCTCAGGAGCATTCATTTTGCTTGTAGATATTACTACAATTCAAGTGAAGTTAACCTGTGGCAAATTCAATTGAATGGATATGATTTGGAAAGGCACACACGTCTTAATAAAAGGTCTAACAGCTGATAATACATATCAGAGCAAAAACCAAGCCCTGAGGTCATATAACTGTCAAGCAAAAAAAATGGTTTTTAACATCTATGCAAATTTATTAAAAATAAAAAACTAAAATGATTCCATTGCATCTGGGACAGTTAAAATTTAGCTCAGGAGCATTCATTTTGCTTGTAGATATTAC